GAATCACAGAATTGCAGAGTGGGAGGGGACCCTGAGGTCTAGTCTAGTCTAACCCCCTGCAATGCAGTTGTCCAATACAGTGGTACCTTGGGATAAGAATTCGTTCTGGAGGTCCTTTCTTAACCTGAAACTGTTCTTAACCTGAGGTACCACGTTAGCTAATGGGGCCTCCCACTGCGGCCGCCGTGCAATTTCTGTTCTCGCCCTGAAGCAAAGTTCTTAACCCGAGGTACTATTTCTGGGTTAGCGGAGTCTGTAACCTGAAGCGTCTATAACCCGAGGTACCACTGTATCGAACCTGCAACCTTGGTGTTATTAGCACCACACTCTTAACCAACTAAGCTATCCAGTACATATATATGACCCTTAAGACTTGCTGTGCCAAATATATAAAACGATTGGAAAGGCGTATACCTACCAACATCTATGCCAGAACAGTGTCACAAAATACATATATTAGTGTTACAGCCAAGTTACACTGGAATTGTAATGGTGTGTTAAGGCATGGGAATGTGGAATATTAAATAATTGGGGGTGGGGGTAGATAGGCAACGGAAGCCTAATGGAAGGAGAATGTAAAGATTCTCTCTCTCTCTCTCTCTCTCTCTCACACACACACACACACACACACGACCGACTGTTACTTTAAAAAAATCAGGTGTAGTGGAATCAAGCGTCACTGTAATTGCTCTTCTCCAGAGTCAGCGGAAGAGAGAGTCGACTTCTTAAGCTCCATGGAATATGGATCAGTCCTTGTTAGCTTTGCATTTTGCATGAGGGCAGTGTAAGAGAAAATGTGGGTGTGTAAATTCTCCAAATGATACAGAATGCGATCACCTCTATTTCCCCCCAAAGCTCCCTGGCATCTCTTTCTGAGCATTAGCATGAATCAGTAGGTGCCACAACTTTTCCAGTAAAGTATTTGAATGCTTCAGGTCTACCCAAGGCCAGAGTTTAGAAGTCATTAGGGTTTAGAAGTAATGCATGGATGCAACTTAATTGCACTTTATTATTATTATTTTTTAAAAAGTCCAGTAAGTAGTAGTTATAACAGACATGGCATTTCTCATTAAACATGGTTAAAATATAAAAATAATTTCTCATGAACAGAAGAATCTACATTTGGGCTGTCAGGCTAAGCAGACATTCTTTTACAAGTAATTTTGACATGGAGTTTTATTATATATATTTGTTTTAAACCTGCTAATTTTATTTCTACTTAAATAATTGTATGTGAACTTGTTTTTAACATTTATTGGTTTTTTAATGAATATTTTGTATTGCTTTATGTAAACTGTTTAGAGGGTTTTATCGATTAAGAGCTGTAAAAGATTGTGTTTTACAGTGCTTTTTTTGAAAAAAGGTGGTGGTATTCACCATGAAGTTGTCACAGTAAGTGCCACACTTTTAACCTTTTTTTTTAATGTACCCCCAGGAAAAAAAGCCCTGCTGTTTTTTATGGTTTTGTGCTAGTACTGCTTTCGTATTGACTCTTTTAGCAGCTTGTTGATTGTATTTGAATTTTGTTGATTTTAATTTGTGAACTGCCTAGAGTACGTGGTTAATTGTGTGGCATGTAAATGCCAAAAATAAGTAAATAACATCTTCCCCAAGACACAGAATGAAAGTGAGGATAACACACACACACACACACACACACTGAATACAATTTTGCTTGAGTGTGATCGGAGGCTGACAGCTCCTTACTTGTTGCGAGAAGTTGAAATCTTACCCATTTTCCACCAAGCCACTGATGTAAAACTTTGTATTAAAACATGGGAAGCAGCTAACCCAACCTTTAGGCCAAATATCTACGCAAGATATCCAACACCCTTTGCTTCTTTAGAGTTCTTTAGAATCATGGGCGAAAATTAATGGCGGGCAAAGAACTAATGTGTACCAGAAAATGATTCATCCTCTCATCCTTAATAATGAAATAATAATAAAAAAAGGGTAGTCAGTGCTGCCGAGTTGTTCCAGCAAGCAGGTCTCCAGGAACTTGGGTTCCCTACAGAATTCCCCTTGATCTTAAAGCTTAACTTGAAACATTTATATGCACAGAGCACCTGACCAAAAGATGTGGTGGAAAGATACTTTTATCACATTGGCTGTATATCTTTCTTAAATAATACATCCCTGCTTTCTTCCCTACTGAGAAAATTGATTCTATTCTCTATAATTTGTGTGTGTGTGCGTGCGTGCACTTTTATAAAAGTTTTTAAACAGCAAGACAGTTTGGGCTATCTTCTCCCACTGTGCCCTAATTCCTGGAAAGATGCTCAATCAGAACAAGATAACTTTAGCCAGGGCAAAACCTTTAAAAGAAAGAAAGAAAAAGTATTATGGCTAGGCAAATGCTGGTTTGTTCTTCAGATCATTTTGCCATCTTGACTGCATATAAACAGAAACTGCTGCTTGTACACTGAACTAAGGGAAATCCAAATTGTTCAAGGAATCCCAATACTGTGCTAAGAAAACCAAAATTCTATGGGCTGGCTGATTCAAAATGTTTCTTTGCGTTTACTTCTTTCAATAATTTTGCGTCCAATGACCATTTCCTGGCACCTCAGGTAAATCAAATTAGATGGGTGTCCAGCTATATCACTGGGACTAGACACATCACATCATCCCTCAATAATGTTCCCCATCACCCGGGAATAAGGCAGCTCTGGGTATTACATTATCTGTGTTATAATCAACTAGTGTTGGAAGCAGGGGTGGGTGGGTGTCTGCAACTAGTGTCCAGGTCATAGTCCCTCTGATTGGTGATGCTGTAAAGATGGTTTCTAAGTGCATCTGAAGCCTCCCCATGACCAGGAACCATGTGTTGTCAGGCTTCTTTCTTATTACTTGGAGACATTCATCTGAATGCATTTAGAAGCTCTCTTCAGACCTTTGCACTGCTCCTGAGAAGGTTAGAAGTGAAGCCAGTGGGAACAGGGACGCTGGGAGTGGGTGAGGCAGTACTCATGCCCTCATCCCAGGGCATTGATTTTAACACAAATGATGCAACATCTGAATAGAGCTCTTCTAGGAATCTTCTGGGGGAGAGATCAAGCTAGGGTAATAGGTTATGACTCTGCTACCTTCCAATTTCCCTGGAGTTGATTGTAACCAAGACCAACAAGGCATTTAGATGCAGTGAGTAAAGCCCATCAGAATCTATGTTGACCAGTTTAATTAATCAGAAGTTAGGTTTGTTGACAAACACAAGGAACTGCATTCAAGGAAACAGAAGTTGTTGTTTTTTAATTACAATGTTATTTTAATTACACAATTACAGTTATGAAAATACATACAAAAACCTTACTATTAAATCATCCTATATTTAAACCCAAATATGTATAGGATAGAAAATATGCAATAGTTGAAAATTTCAACTGTAGCAACGAGTCAGACTTATATCAATGAAAATAATATATACAGTTTAAAATTACATTCATATTTCAGATTCCAGCGATTTATGAACAAGCCTATCTGCTGTACATTGTCTTTTTAAATCTCTTACAATATGTAAGATTTCTTTACAATGTCACAATCCAAACTTGCTCATATCAGGATGATTTTTCAAATATAGAAAAGCTACTAATATTTGCCTGAGTTGATAAAGCAGTACAAAGATAACTCAGATCTTACACATTACTGGAAGATCAATAATACCAGACAATTGATTTGTGTTTTGAAATGAAAATTCTCTACCCTCCAGAAGATGCAGAATAAAAGCCCAATTGAACCCAGTTGAAGAGCCTTAACATTGCACATTTAGTTAATTGCACATTTATAGCCCACTTGTAAAATTTATGCAATGGTGTGATTGCTTCAGGTCACAAGGTGGAGTGAAACAAAGATTAACCAATCATAGCAGGACACACTTTCGCCCCTTAAAATGGAAGACAGATTAGGGTTTGGGTGAAAGAAAGGTTAGCCAATCATAGCAAAATGTATTGTTGACCCTTAAGAAGGAAGCAGGGTTGGAAGAAACAAAGGTAACACAGAGCGCTACAAATTATATATAATTTCTACACTTTAACTTCTTGCATTCCTGACCCTCCATGATATGGTCACAGGCAGGGAAAAGCTTCTCATCTGCCGAATGCCAATGGAGAAGGCTAAGATTCTCTAGCAACCTGGGAATCTGTGTGGGGTTTAAAAACAAACCTGTTGTTTATTTTGAAAAGCACTCATCCACTCTTAACAGGATTAACAATTAATTTTTACATAGCATTTTACAAAAAAAATAAATATCACTGCATCAAAATGTTCATGCTATAAATGCTGGAAACTATTATGGATTCCCGTTCCTTTCAGCTGGGATCTGCATTCATTTGCTGTCTCTAATGCCTTTACTCTTGACCTTTTTCACCGCAGAGCAGAGAGCAAATTGCAAAATGAGGACATGGGGAGAGAGACAAACTGTGTTCCATTAAAGAGAGAAAGTGGGGGGAAAGGTTAACATTGGTTTGCTAAAAAAAGATCTAAAGCCTTGGCTCTGAAAAATAGGTTCAGATTTGATCGTGGAATCCATTTCTCTCATCCTTGGACAAACTCTGGTGTCATTCCTTCAAGGATGCAGTGGCGTAGCGTGGGTTGCCAGCACCCGGGGCAAGGCAAGTAATCCCTAACCCGTGGATTTGCGCCCCCTAACCCGTGGATTTGCGCCCCCTAACCTGTGGATTTGCCCTAACCCCAGATGTTGCGCCCGGTGCGGCCGGCCCCCCCCTGCACCCCCCACGCTACGCCACTGCAAAGATGGTATCCAACTCCACACCCTAAGTGGAACTGCTCAAAGTAACAGTTGTTGGAGAGGGTATGGAGAGTTAGGCATGTTTATTTTTCCATATGTGGTGGACATGTCTAGTGATCAAAAAATATTTGGGAAAATTTATTTCGTGAAATCCAGCCGATCCTTGGACAGAATTTAATGCCTGACCAACTCATGGCATTGCTCTCTAAATTTGTTGACGAGGGTAAGATTGTTGTTGGTTTTTTTATTATTATTATTATTAAAAAAAGACCTGTTAAGCTCTTTCTTTGCAGCAACATGCATTGTGGTGGCTCATAATTGGAAGCAGACTAATGGAAACTTGACTGAGCTATGCCCAAGTTTGGCATGGACGGAAAAATTGACAAAGTTAAAATCCAACAAAGATACATTCTGTGCAGAATGGTTGTGACCTCCAAGTATACATCAAGTAAAAAGAATGATGGGAGCCCTCCCTTAGCACATGCTTCTACCATAGTCCTTTTCTTGTCTGATTACATAACATGCCCTTAATTCAGCTATTTTTTGTTTATTCACCATAGCATACTGAAACATTTTTACTGAAAAACCCCCCTTCTTCCATTTTCTTAAATGAAATGATTTTCTTGGTTTCATTTTTACAAGTATATTTAAGCTCCATTTTCCTTTATTTATACATTTTCTTGTTATACCTTATATATATGCTTTATCTTGTCTTGATGTACTTATTTAATTTTGATGGCATGTTGCTGTATATGTCATTTCTTTCTGTATTGAAAATTCTAGTAAAAATATATATATTTAAAAAATATTAAAAGCATGGCTTAGAAACCTGTTTAACATGGCAAAGAAAACAAAATGTTTCAGCTTTATTTCATTTTTGTATATGAAATATTAATATTGAGTTAATAGTTCTGAGCATCCCTTTCCAGAAAAGATCTATTAGAATTGTCAAAAAGTGCAGTGATGGGTAACAAAACTGGAAAAACTATTGTCAGAGCACTGAGGGCAACTGTTTCTATGGATTAAAGTGGCCATGTAGCCGTCATTGACAATCTACTGAGGTCAGATCAACAGGTACTGTTTGTTGTTTCTTCCGTGTGTCAGTTTAGATTGTGGCTGCTATTACCAGGGCTTCACTGCACAGCTTCCTTAGTAGGAATAGCCCTAACATTAGGCAGAGTGGGGCGTCTGCCTCAGGCGGCAGCTGATACAAAACAGCAGCAGTCCCGCCACCATTCTACCTGAGTTATCAAAGAAAGATTAAACAGCCATTTTGTTCAGATTCTGTACAAGGAGAGAGAGAGAGAGAGAGAGAGAATCGTCTTTTCCTTTGCTTCAGGCAGAAAAAAATGTAGGGTATTCTTCCTTAAGTTCCAAAATGTCCTGTCAGAGGAGGTTGAGAAGTCAACATCTTTGGATTTCAAAAAGGATGTAAACATGTTTCTTTTGTCAATAATTAGTGCTGTGATTTGTTGTTAACTGCTGCAACCTGTTAGGAAAAAAAGTGTGGTGTTTAATTCGTTTATACAACAAAAATACCTCAGATTGCTGTTAACAGTTCAGAATTGAAATGAACTTGCTCCTAAAAGAATGCTTCTCAAAAATCTCCTTTGCCATTATTTAAAATAAAAATACTATCCACAAGTCCACTGGGTGCTCAAATATTCTCTGAATATTAAATGTCACTATTTCAGGCATCCAATGGTTTTTTAATTTCAATGTTTGATATATGGCAGCTGATATTTTCTCCATACCTGGGAATTGATCTATAACAGCGTAACATTTCGTATTCGTCAATCTTGACAGCAGACATGCAATGGTGTACCACAGTGGTTTTCAAACTTCTCCATTTCAGGAAAATGTTCCACACTGAAGTTTGTCAAAATCAAAACGAGTCCCAAGCAATAGAATGTATAATCCTGAGCTGAAAGCATCACATTCAAAATCCGTATCTGGCACTGAAATTTCTAATTCAAAATTGTGAATAGCAAAGTGGGAAAATGGATGAACTTCAAGTATTTGTGGATTCTTGTGTCAGTTCCACGTGAAATGATTACTAGGATAAGACCATCCCATAGTCATCTGAATTCTAGTAAGTAGATTTCCCAGTATCCAGGTTACTTAAAAGGCTCCTCAGATGTGTTGGAACCTTCTGTGGGATCCCAAGCCTCTTCCTTAGATGCCATCATGGTCTCTGTTAGACTGACTCCTGACACCCACAGTGATGCCCAGTAAAGAAATCTGAACATGTTCCACATTTTAAAAGCCAGAGTTATTGCTGGCACTGTGACAGGCCAGCAGGAGCAGGCTGAAAATACCTTACCAAGTTTCAATTAAGAATCATTTCCCACATAAGAACTGTTATCATTGCTTTAATTTTGTACTGATTGGTTCCACTTGTTTTGTAAGGTTTTTTTGTGATGCATGAAGAATAATCAGTTTATTTTCAGGTTTCGTTACAGGTTTCAGGCACTCTTATTGACAATTTAATCACAAGAAGACAACATTACAGGAAATATTACTAGCCTGTTACCTATGTGCATGAAGTCATGTACAATATTTTTCTCAATTTGCTTCACTGTTACATTAAATATAATCTAATATACTATTCTGTATTTCTCCACAGTTATTTACAAATACACATTTTGGAATATAATAACGATACTCACTGTAGTCAGGAAACCAGGAATAATCTTTGTTCTTCTACCATATTAAGATCTTCTGAAACTTTTACAGAATTACTTAGCAAAGACCAATAGTGACATCCAGTGGCCGGTAGGAGCACATCTACAAACTGCAAGCAAATGTTGTGCATTGTATTATAACTTGAAACAAAATAATTGCAGCGCTCAGGTGCAGAAAAAAAGAGACATGAACACAATACAGTGGTACCTCGCAAGACGAATGCCTCGCAAGACAAAAAACCCGCAAGACGAAAGGGTTTTTTGTTTTTTGAGCTGCTTCGCAAAACGATTTTCCCTATGGGCTTGCTTCGCAAGACGGAAACGTCTTGCAAGTTTGTTTCCTTTTTCTTAACACCGTTAATACAGTTGCGACTTGACTTCGAGGAGCAACTCATAGCACGTGGTGTGGTAGCCTTTTTGAGGTTTTTGAAGACTTTGGTGATTTTTGAAGCTTTTCCGAAACTTTTCCAACACCGTGCTTTGCAAGACGAAAAAAATCGCAAGACGACAAAACTCGCGGAACGAATTAATTTCGTCTTGCGAGGCACCACTGTACCCTGTGAAAAAAGGAGGACACCCACAGTTTTGTTGCATTTGGCATAATATTTTTAGATAATCCCCAAGATATGCAGGATGGGTGCCTAAATGCTGGAAAGCAACAAAGTCACAATGAGGTTAAGAATCTTGAAATCAAAGAAATCTCCATGGGATCATGGCTTACAAACCTTTTTAGACCAAGGAGCCCACAGATTAGGGACATTGGTAAAAGATGAGAAGGAAGACAATTTTATAGATGTGATGAGGGGCAAACACTTAGGGTTGTAAACCAGCTGAGGAGAGAAGCAGCTGAAAAATCATTGCGTTCCTTTAAAAAAGTTTTACCTTTTTTCCTATGTTTAATTTACTCTTCCAGTTTCCAGAGCCAGAGGTGGTATAGTCGCACAAGGGTGTGGGAGACTATACATGAGAATAACCTTATCAATGTTTTACATTTTGTTCATTTGTACATGACTGAGAACCATAATAAACCGTTCATAACAAAACAACACCTATGACCTTGCTTGCAATAATAGGACTTTTAATGTGTGCTGTACTTGTTCTTTTTAGGGAGATGCAAACCATCTTGACTTATTCTGTGTCCACTGTATCTTTGGACCAAACTACACATTGCATTAATGATGCGGTTTACCCTTTAAAGCAAAGAGGAGCTGTTGTCCCCAAGGCAAGTATGCAGACGTGGGGGCCCGGATCCAGATCAGGACCACAACATGGAGCGAGAGGTTAAAGCCCACAGCTTCCAAGCCGGGATCCCAACCTGTTTGTAAAAATAAAATATTGCACTTACATGATTAACAGAATGTGTAGTTTGCCCTGTGCTGTTGGAAGCTGTTCAGCAAGCAAAGCAAAGGAGCCGCCGACCGAACAGCAGCAGCCTGCCTGCCTGCCTGCAAGCCTGCCTTCTATACCAAGGTCCAGGTTCTTACCCAGTCTACCTGGAAGAAGGCAGGCAGGCAGGCAGGCATGGGACGTCCACGCACCCTGGCCTGCTGCCTTCCTGCCTGCCTGCGGCCGCCTGGCGCTTCTATACGAAGGTACAGGTTCCTACCCGGTCTACCTGGAGGGAGGCGGGCAGGCACGGGGGTCCTGCTCAAGCAAGGAACCGACGCCTACCCGGCCAACCCGCTGCCTTGAGGCAGGAGCAGCAGCTGCGTGGGGTCTTGCGTTCTCTCAGAGGCTCGCGCTGCTTCTCGCGTTCTCCCTCCCCCAGGACCCCGGTATGGGCCCCCCCAATATTTTTTATAAGTCGGTGCCCCTGTGGGGGATGTTACCTATGAATGGAATCTCTCCTTAGGAGGACCAATGCTTCTATTGCACAGAGTGAGGCAGAGCTACATAGCAGATCTTACACTAATGCATGACTTTTTGTGTGTGACAGCACTCACAGGTATGAAGTACCACCCCCTCTTTCCCTGCTTCTTATGGCAGTCATTTTGCACTAGCACCTATGACACTTTCTGCATATAGGAGTTCCAGCATCTCATTTTTTGTACCAGTCCCCCCAACTACATGCACACACACACACACACACACGACACAAACAGATAGGCAGAATTTAGCAAAGTTTCACAATATGTACTTGGAATCTATGCTATCACAAAACAACTCCAACAAGCTAACAAGCTTTTCCTAACTTGATTTTACCTGTATTCTAGGAAACTGAAGGTGATTCTGTGTTCTCGTTGGCACTGCATTAACCAGCTGTTCATCCAATGCAATTATTTTGCAAGTGTTCAACATCAATTACATTCTCTGTTTTGCACACGGCTTCCCCATTTTATTTTAAAAACAAAAAGTGTTAATGGGGGGGGGGAGGCATGGGGTGTGTATAGCCGAGAAAGTAGAAATGCTTCTGGCATAAGTCAAGGTTTTAGCCTGCAGGCAAAACATGAAATAGCTGTTAAATGAGAGGGGACCAAAAGGAAAAAGAGAGATAGCAAAAACAACCATCCCAGGAACCTCTGCTAATGACCACCATTTGTCCTCCTGTGACATGTTCTGTAACTAATAGCACATGACAAAGTGTGTGTTATGGGCTTTAAAACCGGAAATTGAGGGACATCCTTGTTGGAAGGCTAAGTGATTTTAGTATATGAGTGAATTCACGATGAAATCATACAAGGGTCTAAATCAGAGATGGGGAACCTGTTTCATCACATGCAGCTCCCTAGAATACCAGGGGCATCGCAGGCCCCACAGCACCAGAGACTGCGCTCAGCAGCCCTCCTCACCTCACCATTCCACAGCGAGGCAAGAGGATCACTGAAAGGATCACCTGCTAACGTGCTATTGATGTCCAGCGCTTGGACTAAAATGAAATTATATTTGTCTCTGTGTCTTTTAAAATTACTTCTTTAAAACAGAGCTAGCCGTTTTCTCGCTGCCTGAAATTTGGGGGGGGGGGTCTGATTCCTTGGCAGGATGTAGTAGAATGCTCAAAAAGGCCAATTCCCAGGAAAACAGTGAGTCACAGAAGCAGAAAAGCAACTGAGTGTTTCATTGGAATCGGTGGAAGACAACAGATTGGAACAGCAAAACAAATGAAAAGCTAATACACGAAGCAAAATGAACCTGGTTTTTAAGAACTAAAATATGAAGCAACTGAGGCTTTCAGTCTTAAAACGAATGGAAGAAACAAGTGTACTTTTCCTGGCATATGTATATTGTCAATTTTCTATTGCCTCTGGAGACCCAAACCTAACTTGTTTACTCACATACATTCTTAGATCTATAGATCCTATCAGCAGTACTGGCTATAATTGTGTCTGGCACCTCAGTTTTTTTATTATCAGCGTGATCATCCCAAATCCTGTTTTGTCCTCCAGCCCATGCATAGGAAATGCCGGGGGGGGGGGGGGACAACTGAGAAATTTTGGGAGTTTTACTTTTGGGGAGTTAGTCTCACAAACTACAAATCCCACCATTCTCTCGCCCCCCGCCCCCCATCTTATAGAGGGGAGTCACAAAGTTGTAGTTTCCTGTTCAGAGTGCTTCCTGGTTTTGCCATAATATTACTTCTGTTTGGCTCAAATAAATTTCACAAGATCCTATTACAGTCCAGTGAAAAATATTCAGTATAGTACCACATTTATCTCAATCATCTAAAACACAGGTTCCCAAACTGTGACCACCAGTTTTCCATGAGCTTCATCCACGTGGTTCACGATGTTTTTCTGAAGAACGGCAGGAGCAGTGGCTGTGAATGGCTGGAGTAGCACATTAAATATTCACCTTGATTATTAATTTTGTATTGTAATCTTTATTATTATAATTTATATATAAATTCAAGTTTTAAGACAATAGAATACAATGCAGGAAAGAAAAGAAGCGAGAAATATACAACGAAAAACCATGCAGCATTTAGCACTAAGTGGTCCATCATGAACATCAAGAATTTTTCAATGGTCCATAGGGAAAGAAAGTTTGGGAAACTGCTGGTCTAATATACAGGCAGTGACCAAATTGTGTGGAGTGGGAGGGTTATGTTCTGGAGCTTCTCCATGTAATCAAAGGGGCAGGGGGAGGGGCAGAGCTACTGCAGTTGCCATGCCTGAAATCACATAGCTTCACCCTGGCCCACCCTGAAATCCAGGTCTGCTAACCAAAAACCTACACGTAGGCTCCTCTCAGAGTAGGAACTTTCCCATATAATACATAAAGGCAGCTACTGACTTCACGCTATAGTTCATTTTGGAATTCGCTTCCTGTTGCATCCTCTTTATCAAGAGCATTTTAAGCTGATTGAGTGAAAGTGTCTCACTTTTTAAAATGATTTGTTTACTACCATTTGCCAGGCAAGAGTTTCCCACAATCTCTCACTTTCTCTTCATGCAATTTCGCCACCATTCCAGATATAATATAAGGGGTTGACAAAAACAAACAGCCATACAAAAACTAGGCGCTTAGCCAGACATTTTAAACTTTGAACTCTGCTAAAAGGGTAAATGTTTCACACAGCACAGCTTCTCCCTTCTTCCTCTTTTCCTCAAGCTACACAGAGTTTTGTCAAGAAACGGACTAATTAATGTCCTGGATGGAACAATTTCAGCAATAAATAGTATTCCTGGAAAGCTCGGGTTAGAATAACTCTGATTAGTATCTTACTTCTAATTAAAAACAACAACCACAACCCAAAGTTTCTACTCCAGGAGTAGCCAGCACAGGCCACACTAACACGATACAGTCAGCTCCATGGGGGGGGGGGTGATCAGAGGCACCCATTAAATTCTGAGCCAGCCCTACCGCTGTCGTGTGATGGCATCAAGGAAGGGCCAAGGATGTGTCAATGGTCCTGTTAGGCAGTGGCTGGGATCAGGATTGCATCCTAAACCTTGCCCTGCATGGATATTCCAGTCAAAATTTTCAGCCCCATTTTTCTTACTTTTGACATTTTAAATCTTTAATGTGCTTGCTTACCCAACTGGGAAAATTTGTAAGTCAAGTAAGTATTTTTCAGACGTACAGGTAAAGGGACCCCTGACCATTAGGTCCAGTCATGGCCGACTCTGGGGTTGCGGCACTCATCTCGCTTTATTGGCCGAGGGAGCCAATG